GGGTTCAGGGTCGGTTTACCTCCCCGAAAGAGAATCCGCTCTTCGGCGTAGCCTCTTTGGGGTTCCTCCCCGCCCGAAGGCAGAGAGTTCAACCGATCAGCCAGTCGACTGACTGACCAACTCCCTGAACGACTGATACTACTCATATTTATTATAGGTGGGAGAGTCTATTAACAATAGAATAGGTGTGTTCCACTATAACACTCACTACCTTGAGTGGCTCTTCAGCCTTGAACAAAAACGTAAAAATTACAATCCCTCTGATTCGAGCAATAATAAAAAATATATTGTGTATGCTATAAATGGTTGAAATAACCAATAAGAGAACATCAAAGAAACGGTAAACAATTGTAAAGTAAATACCAAAGGGTGTTTCATTAAGACAGATTATATATAAGGGTGTTTCATTAAGACGGATCAAAGTCAGCAGTAAATAAATCAGTGTTATTGGTGAAAATGTATTTATTTCTCTATTGGATCATGTTATTTAATTCATGGCAATTATGGGTGAAGAATAATATCACCCAAATGTCCGCCAAATTTGAAAGAAAAAGAAAAAATTCTTTAAACGCTTAAACATACTTTAAAATCGGTCCAAGTTATTGGAACATACGTTAGTATTAAAATCAATGTTATTTGGAATAATAATATTCATGCACTTTAAGAAAACGAACGGAAATCTTTCTTCAACAAAACGAACTGAAATATTGCGTGTAGAAAACGAACCAAAATCTTTCTTGTACAAAGGAACTTAAATTTTGATTGTATGAAACGAACTGAAATCTTGTACAGATAAACCAAAGTCTTGCTTGCAGAAAACCAACTTCAGTCTTAAATCTTGCTTGCCCAAAACGACCTTAAATCTTGCTAGCCCAAAATGACCTTAAATCTTGCTAGCCCAAAACGACCTTAAATCTTGCTAGCCCAAAATGACCTTAATAGCCCAAATCTTGCTAGCCAAAACGATCTTAAAACCCAAACGAGCCAAAACGACCAAACGACCTTAAATCTTGCTAGCCCAAAACGACCGTAAATCTTGCTATCCCAAAACGATCTTAAATCTTGCTAGCCCAAAACGACCTTAAATCTTGCTATGCCAAAATTACCTTAAATCTTGCTAGCCCAAAACGACCTTAAATCTTGCTAGCCCAAAACGACCTTAAATCATGCTAGCCCAAAATGACCTTAAATCTTGCTAGTTCAAAACAACCTTAAATCTTGCTAGCCCAAAATGACCTTAAATCTTGCTAGCCCAAAATGACCTTAAATCTTGCTAGCCCAAAACGACCTTAAATCTTGCTAGGCCAAAATTACCTTAAATCTTGCTAGCTCAAAACGACCTTAAATCTTGCTAGCTCAAAACGACCTTAAATCTTGCTAGCCCAAAATGACCTTAAATCTTGCTAGCCCAAAATGACCTTAAATCTTGCTAGGCCAAAATGACCTTAAATCTTGCTAGCCCAAAACGACCTTAAATCTTGCTAGCCCAAAATGACCTTAAATCTTGCTAGCCCAAAATGACCTTAAATCTTGCAAGCCCAAAACGATCTTAAATCTTGCTAGCCCAAAACAACCATAAATCTTGCTAGCCCAAAACGACCTTAAATCTTGCTAGGCCAAAACGACCTTAAATCTTGCTAGGCCAAAATGACCTTAAATCTTGCTAGCCCAAAACGACCTTAAATCTTGCTAGCCCAAAATGACCTTAAATCTTGCTTGCTCAAAACGACCTTAAATCTTGCTAGCCCAAAACGAACTAAAATCTTTATTGAAACCAAACCTTGGACAAACGAATATATATCTTCAAATTAAAAGAATTGGTTACTTCAAAAGAAAATTTAAAGAATTGTTTACTTCAAGATAATGTTTTAAAGATTTGGTTAATTCTAAAGAGAATTTAAAGAATTGCTTACTTCTAAAGAAGTACCTGAGAATTAGTTTTGGAGATAAGGATTCTTCATTTCAATCATTTTTTTTTCCTCACACAAACTGTCATAACTTGTCTTTGGCCCATATGTGACACGTGTTCGCTAGACGAAATTTGAGTTCAATCTTGTTTTCAATCTGTTTCATCGGTGCTTTTCTTCCACTTAAATCCTGATCCTTCTTTTGTTTTCTGAAATTGGAAAGCGAAATATAATTTTAAAATGAAAGTGAAAGTGTACTTTAATTTTTGAAGGTAAACATTTTCACTGAAATCCGTTTGAAAATGTTTACATCTGAAATCAAGAAAGCATGGACTTTAAACAAATGACCATAATATATTGAAAAAAGAAGGCGTTAGTTTAAATTGATCCCAGATGGATATGTGTTAATAGAAATTTTAATAGAATGTGTTAATAGGACTTTTAACAAAATGGACAAAATATATTAAAAATGGCGTCAGTTTAAACTGACGCCATATACAAGTGTTAATAAAACTTTGATAGAATATACTTCAAAGCTCCCAAGAAAATTCCGGCATTATATGGCCCATAAGGGGTAGATATTTGATAAACAAACAAATCATGACTCAGCTTAGCTCAGCAAGGCTGCCAGTTTTGGACATCCGGTGAACACCGAAAATGCTACTCAGCATTAATGGTCGACTAGTCAATAACAATTAATACATTCTCATGCGCTCATCCTTGGACTAATATTGTCATTTATTAAGCTTAGCTAAGTTTGGCACTAGGCCTCCAGTATAGGGCACCCCGAGGAGCATTGAAATCAATACTCAGTAATAATGCTCAATAACCATTAAAGGCCTAATATTGTCATTCATTTAGTTTAGCTAAGTCTGGCACAAGACCTCGAGTAGAGAGAACCCGATGAGTATCGAAATTAATACTCAGTTTAAATGCTCAACCATTAAAACCTTCTGATACAATCATAGTAGGCCATTTTTTACATTTATTAAGCTTTGTTTTGTTTGGCACATGGCCATAAGTTTAGGGCACCCAGTGAAGATTAATATAACTACACCCTATTATTGGATAACAAAATTAGTTTGATAACCATTAAAACTTTCCGAAGTGCCCACCCTAGTCTCAAATTTCGATTGCTGTTAAAAACAGAAAATTATGCCATTGACTAAATACAATTATAAATGTAAAATATAAATTAAGTAGATTCTTTAGTAAATCTATCAGCTGACTCGGCCGCTCATAAAGCCGTTTGAATTCATAAAAAAGCAGTTCACGATACAAAAAGGTGTGTATACGTACACAGCGGCAAACCAGCGTGCATCTATCTATTTACCATCAAGACACAATTTTCCAGCCATACAGATTACGTTTTATAATGATACACCCACATAGCGTCTTCGCCTATTAAGTAGTTGCCAAACAACCGAAATATTTGTTTATAAATGAAACTTGTAATGTAGTGTAGGGAATTGTATAAATATGTTGAGTTATGTATATTTATTTGAGAATGTTGCCATAATGTCTATGCATATTTATTATTTTTAACGCACATAATAGTTGGAATATAATATGCAAGTGTTTGTTTATATACGTAGATGGATATAAGAATGTGCATCGAAAATAATTACTGTATTGCCTGTTAAAGATGTCGTAAAAACAGGAAAACAGCCCTAGCCCAAGAACCCATTGTTTATTTTTAATGAAATTTGGCACTGCACTCGATAGGAGTTCAAGGTGCCATATGCTCTTAAATTGGATTAGTATGTATCATTTCAGCTGTATGTCTTAGTATGATATAGTCATTTAAATCGTTATATGCCAATAAAAAGTGATTCAGAGAAATATTTTCAAACATAATCAAGATAATTCATATTCATTTTCAAAAATGTAACTGTTATTTCTTATAATCATATCTTTTACAGCAAGGTTCACTCTTTACAATGCCCGAGGGCCACTCGAGATAGAGGGTTGCGTTTGGAGGCCATTTGTGTGTATAGGGGTGGAAGATAACGGTTAACCCTAGTCTAGAAGACCAACATGGGTAAACGTTACCCCTTCCCAATCGAAGAACGTATGATAGGTTAAGTTGGTTGATTTTAGGTCATGTAAACTTTTACTGGATTAATTAATAACGAATTTTGTATGTGGATACCCGGTGAGGATCGAGTTCGCAAGGAATGGTCAACCAGACTAGGCTCACTAACCATTGCCTCTCGATAAGAAGTTTGTATATTCTTAACCTTGTTAACTTGTTAGTATGTATAGTTATTTTCCAAGCGTAGCTTAGATGTGGCACAAGGCTGAAAGTATGGGGCACCCAGTGAGGATCGAACTCACTACTCAGTCGTAATTGTTCTAGCGAGACAAACTTGCTAACCATTACAACACCTGGAGGTGCCCACTTGTTAGTATGTATATCTGTCTAAGAATATACTCAGATCATTTGTAAACATCTATGCCGATTATACGGCTATATATAGGCACACTTCTAAAACCCTCGATGGTCTGAGATTGGCGACTGAACTCTCTTCCGATCTTGTACAAACTACCCAATGGGGTAAAAACTGGCTGGTTACATTCAATGCCTCGAAGACCAAGATAGTTACATTCCATCATCGGCGATCTGACTTCGAACTACCGCCAATTAGTATAAACGGAGGTCCTCCCGGGGAAGCACCGTGCCTTGAAAGACTGTTGGCCCTGAAACCCACACTCGACCTCAAATGGAACTCATACATACGATCCATTGCTAAGGATGCAGGTAAAATGGTCGGCTCCCTGTACCGCTCCAGTAAGTACTTGACCCTTTCCTGCTATCCTCTACCTTTACAAGAGCCAGATCAGGCCCAAAATGGAATACTGTTGCCATATTTGGGTGGGAGCTGGCCAGACCTCACTCTACACCCTTGATAAAGTTCAAAAGCGCCTTCAAGCTCTTGTGGGTGACGAACCCTCCATTTACTACTGGATAGTCAGTTCGTTCATCACTGGGTGCCCCTTTACAAAATTCGGTATTAAATGGCCGAACCGAGGTTGACATAATCAATATAATCAATCGACCTAAGAATAAGAAGAACAACACGAATCAACAGA